GGAAGCAGCAGAGACTGGCAATGGACACAGGTGCAACAGATCTAGAGAGGAAGAGAAGGGAATCAGACCCAAGAAATGGCTTCACGAAGATGCATCAGGAACCAGCAAGAAAAGAAAGGGTGGATTTGTGAGTGCTTGTCTGTTCAAGAAGTTGCAAGACACCTGAAAGACACCCGGAAGATGCCTGCTGCTAGAATCACCTGGCTTTGGCAAAGTGTACAGAAAAGTTTTTTGCAGTTTTCTCCAGTCTTAGAAAATGAAAGAGAATCTTTGCTTGCCATAATGGGAACAAAGGTGGCTTCAGCGAAAACAAATTCCTCACCAAAGAACTTTTAGACAAATGACATTGTTACTTTCTGAAATGACCTGACATTCTATGTTTGAAATAGAAAATGCTGAAATGCTAAAAAGAAATGTGCAGCTCCACCTGACTTGAAGAACAATTTTATTGTTGATTTTTTATAACATCAGTGCACAAATGTTAAAATATAACCCAGCTCCGCAAACATGCGGCTTCAGATTAGATACACATGATTCTTATGCTGTGTCAGCTGTAAAGCACCGATTACTTTATAAGCAAATTAAGCTTTGCAGGGACAGGACACTCTTGCTCTGGGGCAATCTCATGGAAAGTCTCCTTCTTATGAAGTTATCTAGGAACAGCTTCTCCATCAACAAATGGTGGTAAGGCAAAGTGGCACCAGACAACACAAACAGTCCTTAAAAGACTTCTGACTTCGGCCTAGAAACCTACAGTCAATAAATGATTACACAGGACCTTACAAGAGGGGAAGGAGTAGAGAAAATTAGATGTATATCATGTTTTACAGATTCACCTGGCTGCCTCAGAGTGAGAAGAAAGTGGAGCTTCTGCGGCTCACCCTAATGGAAGTCTAAATTTAGACAGCGGACAAAGTTCCAGCTGAACTGATTGACCTATACAAAAGGGAAGTGGAGGATAGGGAGGAGAGAGAGGGAGAAAGAGAAAAGAAGATAGAAAGAAAAAACCAAAACTGCTCCATACAACAATTACATCCAGATATCGGAGGTACAGTCTCCACCAGGGTAACGAATCTCATGAGCTAGGACAGGCCCATCAGGCTCCTTCCCGAAATCCACTAGGAAGTTTTTATTCACTTTCAATCCACCTCTTTCAGTATCCACATCAATCTGCAGCATAACAGAGCCTTCCCTGAAAAAGGGACAAGAAAACAGGTATTGGGAAAAGGATTCATATCTGTTGCTCTTCTCTTCCATATTTGGTCAGGATTTGTCTTCATTTAATATAAAATGGAGAGAATCCCAGATTTAAATTGGAGCTTAGCAGGTCTCAAAAGTGAGTTACATCGCCTCAGTGAAACCTGCAACCTCAAATTAGCCATGAATGAGTGAAAATTAATAGCTGTTGTTACTTATGAAGGAATAGGCCAGCTGCACTATGCCCTCATGTGGCCATCTGGAAGATCATCGCCTTTCCTTAATTCCAAAAAGCAGAAAGTCATGCTGATACACCCAAAGGCAGTTTGGAAGTACTACCGATTCCGGAAGCCTAGGTCACGTTCACTGGTTTCTTCCCATTCTCACCTACTTCCAAACAGATCACAGATTCCAACCAGATTTGAACAAATAGTGTGTGCAGACCCCAACTCCTGCGGGCCCGTTGCAGGAACGGATTCTGGCTAGTGGGTAAAGCACCTAGGTTGGTAGGCTGTGTATAAGAAGTTACTGGATTCAGCCTCCCTGCGTGGGAAGTCTGCTCTGTATACCAACATATAGGTAAATGCATATCACTATTTAAGAAAGAAATCTTGAACATGGGCTTGTACAGTCATCCTTGTTTACCAGAGTTTTCTTACTTGACAAGATCTGGGTAGAACTGCTTGTCCCATCCACTGTAGAGAGAGCTGGTGACATATAATCTCTTCCCATCCAAGCTAAGCTGAATCATCTGAGGTCCACCTGGCACCCTCTTCCCCTAAAATTATAATACAGAACAAGGTGCTCAAGACAAGCTGCCACGAGGTTGAACAAAAGAAATGCAAGAGCAAGGAGGAACAAAACAGCACGGCGGTTCTGCTACTCGGAGGACCATCCAGCACTCTGAAATCCTTGACACAAAAGCAACAAATCCCCTACTTTGGAGAGAGAATAGTTTTCATTGGGAGTTTTGCTCCTTGCTAGCAGGGAGCCTGGAAGCCATTTCAGATGAGTTCCACTTAATTCACAGAACTAGTAATGTAAGAAAATAAGGGCTGAAGGGATCAGGTTGCTGTACTTGGATGGAAGCATCAAAAATCAAGCGAGAGGTGGGTGACATAACACAGTTGCAAACGAGAACATGTCTATACTGGAGCTAGGTCACAATCTGCACTATGAAGAAAAGGAGTATGTGGAACTTCCTGAAACTGCCTTCAGTGGCCAACAACTCTTGGTCATGACTGTATTCAGTTCTTGCATATCCCATGAGACTTTCCATAGGTAGCTGCCTTGATAGTAATAATATTAATGCACATTGATAATGACCAGAGACAATTAATGCTCTTTCATTTCTCTATCATGATGCCAGGTGCCATCAAACTCTTCACACACACAAGGAACACTGCAGAACACTACATGAGCTGGTTTAGTGCTTCAACCATCGGTCGCTGAAAGATTATCAGAAGCAATGATGGCAGTGTGATGAATGCACACTGCATTAGCTTTAAATTAGCTGGCTAACAACAGCACGGAAGATATAACTACACAGGCTTCAGTACAGTCGAACAGCTTGTCCAGTTCCGCCAGGGACCCGGAACACTTACCAGGATTTACTAGCTCCAGTCCATGCTGAAATGTGATACCTGCCCAGGCTGTAAGCCAAGATACAAACTAGCTCAGATATGGCTTTATAGGTTGTACCTTTGACTGAGGTAGAGAAATTTCAAAATTGATTACACTTAGCAGTGCACTGACAACGTGCCTGTTAGGAAAACTTACTTTGATCACAAATGGCTCTGGCTGACACTGCAATTCCTTGTCTTCCACTACAGTTACAGGCCCACCTTTTGTGATACTGCCTCCCAGGAACACCTGTAACCAAGGGAATGTGTGAGAACAGGCTTCGGCTACCAGACACATGAAAGCATGAAAGTCATTTTCTCCTTTTAAAAAAGACGACAACTGTACTGCCCACGTATACAACAACTTTTCTGATGCTGGCTTACCTGTCCCACCAGCTTGGGCCTGCGGGTGTTGGAGATGTCGTACTGGCGGATGTCTCCGTGCAGCCAGTTGCTGAAGTACAGGAACCTGTCGTCCAGCGAGATGAGGATATCAGTAATAAGACCTTCAAGAAAATATTCAGTAGCAAAGTCAGGGAACAGACAGGACCAGCAACAAACAAGCCTATTAGCTTTCAAAATTCTAGTCACAGCAGCCTCAGAAAAATAAACTGAACAATAAGCTGAACAAACACAATCATCGCTGGAAACCCAGTGTCTACTCAAAGGCGGATCAGGCTCTACCAGCATTCTCAGGTCCAGTCCTGAACACCGTGAGCTCATGCTGAAAGACCGAAACTCCAAGTATTTCTCTAGAGAAACTGACCTCAAGCACTGAGCAGCGTGGGAGCAGAGGTCTGACAATCTCCTACTTGGTGGCTCATAAGCAAGGCTGATTTGGTTACATCAAGTGTTACACAAAGAACCCAAACAGAAATTTAGTATTTTACAAGGGAAGTGTTAGTCGTTTAAGGATAAGATTTTGCAAAAAGCTACACTGTACCAGGGAACTGAAGAGGACAACACCCCATTTCTTTTCCAAGCATGCTCACACTAACCAGGCATGTCAGGGAGAAGCCATCCTTGCACCTTCTTGCTGGGTACTTCAATCACCTTCTCTGCTGCCCAGTCTCCTTTCTGCAGAAGGCACAGGAGAGAACACAGCATTATTATTGCCTTGATGTTAGCTGAGGGGGCTCAGCTATGCACGACAGAGGGAGGAGGAGCAAACAGTGCTATTTATTTAACAGGTCCTGTACAGAGCAAACACTGCTATTTATTTAACAGGTCCTGTACAGAGGTGATATGCGCACCACAAGTAAGTTTTACCAAGGGGCGAGGACAGTACCTATACCGCCAGTGAGAGTGTTAACGATTATACTATGCAACAACACCTCACACATTGCTGTAAGAGTAGCAGAACTAAAGGCTGCTGATCTCCTACTTTGGTGTCCTATCTGTCTCCAGCTCACCCTTCACAACGGCAATAGCTCTACTCCCCGCTCTGTGACCCCATAGTTTTCCCTCCCTACTCTACCTTCAGGTCTTCCCTTGTACTTCCAAATACTGGTGAGCAGCAGGCAGCACACATCAACACTGGTGACAAGTTTCACATGTTCCGATTAGCTGGCCAGTCAATAACATGTTTGCTGACCAGCTTGCAGGCCAGGAAGCAAGCTGCTGAGCTAATGCTGCAGCCCTTTCCTCAGTGCCAGTGTTCATTAGATCGTCTCATGTTCAAGTGATCACTAATGTTTCTATCATTGGCAAGACCTTCCCCTCTTTGAGACTTCCACGATTCATTAATTTTGGTTAAATCGATCAACAAGTTGTGGAGGGCAGGAGCGTTGGAAGTGGGACTGACAGACCAGCGCTATGACCTCCTAAGCTCTGCTTCCTTTCAGGATCAGGCTGCTGAACATTCAGATGCAGAGATACTCAAAATGCCCACCAGCTGCAATTGCTCAAAGATGAGGGACTAGACGGTAGCTTCAGAAAGCCACAGCTTGTATGCATGTGGGTTTGCTCTCTGACACTGTTATAGCTTGGCTAGAATGAGACTGGAATTAGCAGCCCTATTTTTTAAATCAGAATTCTACTATTTCCCAAGTGATTGGTGAACTTCTGAAACAACCAGGATTGAGCTTCTATGTTTGCCATAGCTTTCACTCTTACCTCTGTCTTGTAGAACCGATGCACGGCAGCACTCAGAGCACACCCCACAAACCCTTCTGCAGCATCCGGATTGTGGAGGAATCGAATTTCCAAAGGTATGGAGCCCTTCCCCAAGTCAATCGCCTGAACGTAGGTGTGGGTGCTCCAGTCCCACACATTAATGCAGCGGCCATAATGTCCTAATGGATCAGGTCAGACAAAAGTAAGTACAGAAGATACTAGCTTAACAAAGAATCACTTTTACTGTTGAGAGTTTAAACAAACGCTGCCTCACCTCTCTCTATATCAGCTGGGTTAAACCCAGCTGCCAAGACTTTTGGGACTCCCCATTCGGTGCTCATCAGGACATTGTGTCGTGGCTGATACCAGAAGTCATAACTCAGGGGGGGTACCTTTTCCCCATTCTCCCAATTTCCTTTATATTCAAAGGTCTCTCCGTCCAGCAAAATAAAGCCACCTGATATAAAAAACGAAGAAAATTGTTTGAAGACATTCACAGCTTTAAATAAGATAAATAACATATTAATATTTAAATGTCTGTTTTCTAAATATGCTGTAAAATGCAACTCTATGCTTAAAGGAAATTTTTGTGATTCTGTTGGTATGACTCTTGTGGACCAAAGGAAATGAAAGCTGGATTTTTAAAGAACTTCATCATATTGTAATGAATTTTTTAAGCTCCAGTTGGCTCTATTTCCACCCGAGTCATTCCAATAAATCAGTTAGCCTCCTAGAGTACATTTCAATTAAGAGATATCTTAGAGAGGATCCTGGAGGAGTCACCTTTTTTCCTTTCCTTGCCACCAGTACCCTTGAATTATGTACATAATATATATCTATTCAAGGACATGTTTGCCCATGATCCGGAAGAAAAAAACCCTGTGAAAAGCAGCAGGGTTCGCTGCTTACCATCTGAAATATATTTCTCCTAATAGCTAGTATTTCTCTTTAGATGTCAGATGTTTTACATCTGAATAGGTTAACAAAATCTATACGCAAGTATCCTTCAAAAGTTTTAAACAGGAAATGCAATCTAGCTTGAAAGGCTTAATTGTCATTAGACAATGAGACAAAGAGGATTTAGTTTGGCAACAGAATCTTTCAAGCCCAAGTCACAAACACTGAGCTGACACAGATTATGTTCAAAGCAGTTCTTCCTTGCTCTATGCTGAAGGGGCCCCAGTGAGGTGTTAATGGGTTTCTTGCTCATATTATAGCCACAGGAGTTGGTCTTCTTTAGTCATATATTTGAAAGACAGAGACATGGAAGCTGAACTCATGCACAGTCCAAGAGAGGTTCCTCCACATCAGGTCTGAATCGCTGTGGTAGAGCAATGCCCATACAGCTTACCCAGTAACTGAAGTATTTATTCTAGTTACGTAAACAACCGCTGGAACGGCTATGTGCACAAAAGGACTGCAAGCTCTTAATGCTGCCAGCTTTGGAGCATGACACTTCTATACCACAAATACTTTTCTAGAGTAATGAAGGGGATTAATACCTTTTCCATTGCCAGAAGGGTCTCCCAAACAGCTGATTAAGATGTCACCACTGCCCAGACAGTGAGAGGTGTGAGGATTAGCCACGTTACCCTTCCAGAACAAGTCCACTGGCTCAACAATCTAAAATGAGTACACACATAGTCATAGTCACCTTCTCCGAGATCACTACAGAATACCAGTTCCGCCTCTAAGAGTTCAAGTTGCAACGAGTGAGGAAGGAGTGGGAATGGCGTATGTGTGAGGCAGATTGTTTCTTCTGGTACTTTGTTTTTTGAGTACCTGCCACCTCCCGCTTTCTGCCCTGCCCAGTAATACAGTGCCATCCATGACATTTATCTGTTCTTCTCAAAAATATAAACAGCAAGAGTTGAATGGTTAGAATCAGTCTAAGTCCAGCATCAGTGAGGCACTGACGTCTGCATTCGTTTTAATTAGTATTAATGGCAGAAACACCACTTGTGTGCATTCAGACATCAACTCTCACTGGAGTACTAGCAGTTCAGAGGGGGAAAAAAAAAATCTTTGAGACTTGCCAGAGACTCAGTCTGAAACAAAATTCACTGTACAAGAAGAGACCTTTGGGGGTTTTATTCCACTGCATTAATAGTTAAAGGCTGGTAAGGTTCTAAAGAACTCAAAACTGAAAGACAAGAAGGGAAGTATTTGCAGGCAGGTGGAGTGGGATAGAAGACCACTTAAAAGTTTCCTTACATTCCACATTATAACCTGTACTCAAAACATGGTTTTGATCACTAAATGTGTCTCTGCCAAACCTGGAACTTTGTACTGAAGTTTCACACATTGCTGTAGGATTCATCTGACCAAGTACAGACACTGGCGATGTATATATTTACATCTAAGCTAATCCTCTATGCTTTTATAGTCAGTGAAAAGAAATAAACACTCTTTGTGTTTGTCAATTCTTTTACTCTAAAACAGTTTTCTAAACTGGGTTAGACAAATCTGACTCCAGCAATGCCTATTTTTTTTCATCGACTGTAAAGAGAATCTAAGCAGTTAGACATGGAAAAGTGTAAGTCTGTATCTGAACTTGTATCTCTGCCAGTATCTGTATCTCTGCCAAATGAATACTATTGCAGTAGAAGTTTTGTTCTGGGAAAATTTCAACTGTTTTCACAAACCCAAGATTTAAAAAAAATGTTCATTTCCCCGTATTGAAACATTTTCTTAATTTTTTCTTTTAAAAAACTCTACATATCACATGTTTAGGAACCAAGGATTACAAATCAAGGAGGAGGAGTCCTTTACAGATGAGAACTGGTTTTGCTCAGTGAAAATCCAATCAAATTTGAACTCATCTCTGAAAAACATACAATCTACATACGCTCAGCTGAATGTGTCAGGTAGGAGTTTGTCTCACGGTCTTGTAGTCAGAAACAGTAATACAGTTTGCAAGTACTTCAACTGAAATTCATATTGCAGAGGCAGGTTGAGTTCTGGAACTTCCTAATTTTTGAGTATGTGACACCACATTTACTCGTATTTTTTTAGTGAAATATTTTTGTGTGTAGTTTGTCAATAAATTGTAGGCGTTTCAAAACTCCCATAAGTTCCTAACATTTGACAAAAGCTTCCATAACTGTTCTGAATCTCCTATTCTAATCTGAAGTTGGAATCCATAAAATCACTGTCTCTTGGTCAAAACATAAGAAATAAAAACCCAGCTTAAAGTCATCTAAATATACCTTATGGATTCTAGGGGCTCGCAAGTCCGTTCCCACATCCACCACATAAATTCGAGACGAGATCAGACTTGGTAGAATCAAATGATTTCTTCTCTTTGTGGCATCCCCAAAGCAGCTGCTACAGGCATTCCACCCTGAATGATGGAGCTCATCCTTAAGATTCGGCATGGGCAGGCGATGGATCACCTACAAAGTCAAGAGCCAGACTTAAGATTCAGTCTGGTACAGTTTTTCCCCTAGGCAAAGAAACGGGTCCTTATGTCAAAGCATAAATTAATAAAGAGCAGAAGGAAACCACTATTTGTTATTCAGGAAGCAGATTCAGCCCAAGATATGCCGAGCTGAAGCTGTAAAGTGGGAGAAGAAAGTTGGACATCAAGATTGCATAGTATTTGTTAAATGTTGCACGTTATTAAGTTAATCCAAATCTTTAAAAGACTATCTCATTAAGGAGACATGCAATAATGATATGGAAAAAACATCACTCGTCCATGTGCTGCAAGTCTCTGCCTTTACAAGATTCACCTGATTACAACTGGCCCTGACTGTAGCAAAGTGACATGTTAATTTTCACTCTTGATTCTGATTTTTACTTTTCCACTGTGTAACTAAAAAAAGTTGAAAGATTACAGCTAAGTTTTGCCAAAATTTTGTTTCCTCCACTCCTCCGCAATAAAACTCTAAGCAGTAGCCATAAAGAAAAAAGAACAAGTTATAAAAATCTTTGTTGTCAAACCAGATTCGCTGCTCCTTAAACACACAGAGATCCAAGTCCAAAGAATCTTCAGCAATTTGAGTCATACAAGCACTGCATGTTTACATGCAGTTTCGTGTACGCTACTCGCAGTAACAAACTGAGCAGCTTAGGGACAGTCTCACCAATATTTTGGATCTGGTATATTGGTAGCTATTTACCCACAGCTTTCCATTTATGAAGTAAATGGATTAGATTCATAATGCTTAATGCATAGAACTTCCCAAGATATCAGATATCCTACATTATAAACTCTGTCTATACTACTAACAGCCCCCGAGGAAGTATCACCTTCTAGAGCTTAATACTGATGCTCAGTATAAATCAGTAAGAGTGTTACAAAAAGAACTATTAAAATACTAAGCACAAAAATGCTCTGAAAGGGTCTTGGACTAACAAGGTAAATGTTAGCTTTGAGTAACCTAGTAAGAAAAACAGCGGAGGATTCGATTGGTGCTCAACACAAATATCTACTTGAAAATGATTATGTGAACCCAAACATTCACTGCTCTAGAAAATGGAGCACTGGAGCCATTCTACACACAGGTACCTGACAATAGTGTGGAGATTTGGGGTCAACATCCACAGTGGCCAGGTAGTCAGGTTTCTCTATCCCAGTGTTTCTGTAGATACAAGGCAGGTACACGATCTCCTCTCGGGGACCTTTCAAGGCAGAAGTCTTATTTAATGCGTCAAAAGGAACCATTTTTACAAAAAGCTGTGGTCAACTTCAAGATAATCTTCTCTGGATTTAATCTTCCCTCCTGTAAACCGTATTTTTCCTAGGAAGCTGAAGCTCAGTATTTCCATTTTAAGGAGAAACACTAACAGTATATAGTTTGAGCAGCCAGAAATCACCAGGAGAAAGTGCTGAAAGAAATTCAGCTGTGGGGCCCTTCCGCTCCCTTGCCCTCCTAAGAGTAAGAGGTCCTGAGCATGCAATTATTTTCCTGAAAAAGGACAGTACTGGAGACCACCTTCCCATCTGCAAAGCCATGTCAAGTCTCTGCTTTCCCCAGTGTGCTGGTTCCAGCTGGGATAGAGTTAATATTCTTCATAGTAGCTGGTACGTGGCGATGGGTTGGAGTTGTGCTGAAAACAGTGTTGACAGCACAGGCATGTTTTCGTTATTGCTGAGCAGTGCTTACACGCAGTCAAGGCCTTTGCTGCTTCTCGCCCCACCCCACCAGCAAGGAGGCTGCGGGTGCAGGGGAAGCTGGGTGGGGGCACAGCCGGCACAGAAATCCCCAACTTTCCAAAGGGATATTCCACACCATACGATGTCATGCTCAGCATAGAAAGTTGGGGAAGAAAGGGGAAGGGGGGACGTTCGGCGCGATGGCGTTTGTGTTCCCAAGTCACGGCTACGCGTGATGGGGCGCTGCTTTCCTGGGGATGGCTGAACGCCTGCCTGCCAATGGGAAGCGGTGAATGAATTCCTTCTTTTGCTTCGCTTGCACGCGCAGCTTTTGCTTTCCCTGTTAAACTGTCTTTATCTCAACCCATGAGTGTTCTGCCTTTTACCCTTCTGACTCTCCTCCCCATCCCATTGTGGGAGGAATGAGCAAGTGTCTCTGTGGGGATTAGTTGCTGGCTGGGGCTAAACCACGACAGAAGAACAGAACATAACTTTTGCACAGCTACAAGTGGATGAGAAGCTTGCTGTTAAACTGTGTCACACAGAATACCCTACAGTCCTTTATCCTATTTTCCCCTCCTGCCCTAGACAGTCACTTGTTTTATGAGAGTCTGAGGGCAGTCTGTAAAGGTCCCCATCCAAAACCACCACGGAAACGGGGTTTTTTTTGGTTAAACTCTTGCCCTCATATTCTTAAAGCAAAGCTCTATTTTCAGCATAGAAAAACAGAACAGTTTGTTGAGTGTTAGCATCCTATAGCCATGCATACATCTAAACCCAGACCCACTTTGTTTCAGTGCTATGGTTTAGTGAACTCATGGCAACAGAGCTGGCAAGCTTTGCCCAGAGTCAGGTGCAAAATGAAATAAAACCTCTTCTGATATTTAAAGTCTCCTTGGCCTTGCTAATAAATGAGCCACTCTGGAAATCAGCTACCTTGTCTTCACCTAATTTGAAAACAATTCCTTTACTGATGGCCTGGATTTAGAAAAGATGTTACAGTACTTGCCTTTCATGGCATCCAGAGGAGTTGCATATCCTGGACCACATGCTCCACATTTTGCTGAGTGGAGACAAAAAAAGAAGTTCTTTTAATCACCAAATTACTTTAAAGCATATCTCTAAGAGGACATTGGCTTTGCATTCAAAGACTGACAAATCTTAGATCAAATTTTTACATTGACAAACACCTGTAAGTCTCACTGACTCCAGTCAATGCTGAGATTACTTGAGTTTCTGAAAACATACACAATATGACACTCTATGCTCAAAATTAATGGGAAATTTGGGCTTTCATTTCAAGGAGTTCAGTCTCACAATTTTAAAGCATGTTCATATCTGACAAGGGTCTGGGATTTAAGAAAATTGTGTTAAATGTTTCACAGAGAGCGGCTGAATCACTGCCAGATGAGTAAGCAGACAGATTGCCCAATTTGAACAATCCATTTTATTACTACTGGAAAGCCTCCAGTCTTTCTCCGCACAGAAATGCTGAAGAAGTGGTTAGTTTTAAGGATTTACAGCCTGGGCAAGAGGCGACGCTGCAGGTGACCGGAAAGGACAAGAGGAAGGGGAATTACGAACCATTCCACCTTGTCTCTCTGTTGAAAACCCAGCGTCCCACCTCTGCTCTCACGCCACCCGCAGAGCTGCCAGAAGCCCTCCCTGAAGCGGCATTCCTCATTCACCGCTCCCAGCACAGCAACGGCATCACGAATCAGATGCTTGGTGGGGAAGCTGTAGGTTTCTCTGTCTGGACGATGATGTGTTCACTTCCAGAAAGACAGGACTGCTGTATCAGGATTTTCTAGAATTGAGAGCTCTATCCTCAGCAAGCATAAAGCACTGCTCACTACTAACATGGAATACTTCATAAGTGTTTCAGCTTAGCTCTAAAAAGTTTCTTAGCTTCCTCTGTCTCAGTCTGGATCTCAATCAACATCCAAGTAAAAATTGTATTAAAACACCCTTGTACACTGCCATTTCTACTCTAACACAGTCAACAGAACATATATGCTCTGGATTGCATCAATACATTGTTGGCTAGAATTAAAAGATAATACCCTGAAATACTGCTTTAAGGGGCAGTTACATGCTGCAAGTTTATGGGCTTCACTGACGTACATAAATCTCTACTTTTTCTAGAGTCAGGGAGCTGCAGGCCTGTTGAACCCATTCCACAATGCAGGAAGCTTCCGCTCCATTCCTAAATGGAACTAGTATATAATCAGCTGTTTAAAACACAAAAATATGGAAGTGCCATGCAGAAGGATGCCAGCTTATTTTTTCAATATGACATGAAGTGAAAAACATGTTGACAGAAGCAAAAACACAGCATAGTTGCCTATCCCTCCGTACCTCAAGTGTCTGTAATTTAAAAAAGCAAACCAGCTAATTATTTGCCATTCTCTGATATTTAGAGAGACAAGTTTATAGCAACAGCTTTTTTCAGAATGCCACAGATCTAAGATCTCAAATCCAGAGGTAGTGACAGCTCCAGTGCCCATTTAATTACGGAGCCTTTCCTGGAAGGCAACATGCTTCCAGCAATCCACTCACGTCGTGTGGAGGCTCGTAACTTTAAGAACTGGATCTTCTCAAAAAGAGTCATTTAGTTCTTTAGGTTCAATTTCACATCCTTTGTGAAGTACTTTTATCTGGAAACACAAAATATAAAGTTTGCTTTGTTCCATTTACGTCTAAGCCATAATTTAAACTTTATTCCAATTTTCTCAATCACTTAAATTAGCAGGAACTCAGTATGCATTAGACCACATCTTAATTAGCATTGCAAATGCAGTTTTCTGCAGATTACTTTGAGAGAAAGATTATTTGTGCCAAATTGTTTTCCAGAGAAAACATACAGCAAGATGATGAACATTTTCTCTTCCTTCTTCTCATACACATTTTTTCTCCTTTGCCTCTGATCTTGTTCAAACACTCTTTTATTCTGAGCCATTGTCTCCAACTGCCTGAAGATATCTGCAGATGATGCAAGCTTTTCTGTGTTATATGATGCCAAGCCCATTTGTGAATACAAGATAAGGTTTTTGTCACGAAACTGTGATTTGTACCATCTTGTAGCAACATGTTAACAATAATATTTACATTGCTATGTTAATAATCCATGGGTAAACATGTTAATATTACTTATTACGTTCCAGATCCCCCATTAATCTGGCAGCTGACCAAGCGTTTACCAGGAACTAGGACACTATATGACATCGATGTGGTTTGCAAACTCCAGCGAGGACATCAAGATTTTTTTTTTTTTTTCCCCAGTGTATCGTACACCTTTATAGGTAAATTCTCTTACGGGTAGCTTCTCATGCACAAAGTCCACCTTCCTTGTCTTTCTAAATCAAAGGTTTCTCTACCGCCAATGGCTCACGTGAATTTAATGGGAAGAACATACACATTTAGCTTTAACTGCTTCATTGTAACATTTTCCTTTTTTTCACAAATGAAGTTACAAGAAGCCCGATTCCTCCTTACTCCTATGCAGTTATTTGTATATATACACCAAGAGCTGATAAAAATATCACTGTTCCTTTTGTTACCGTTGTCTACAGCAATTCTCCCTTGTGGAGAGCAAAGTGAATCGAGGAATCCAGTCTAGCTTCCTTTTGCTCTGCATTTTCTCATTTTCCATCTGTTCTGTTCCTCGTTTTGGAGAACAGGAGGGACAGTAAATCAAAGGCAACTGTCCAATCATTTGTGAGCCACCAGCAATGATCCACAAGCCACTCTGGAAAACTCCAAATCAATAACAAGGTTGTGGGATATTTAGCTATGCTTACAATAGCCGAAAACATCTAAGCCACAACTTCCCACGTCCATGAGGGACTCCCTGCAGCTTTCCATCCACTCTAAGTTTTAGACAAAAAGGAGGCAGTTCTCAACGTCATAAATGTTAAAAGAGCTTCTCTGATGGTGGCAAAGACACCGCGCTTTTCTGGGTGGCAGTGAAGAATACTCAGGTTTTTTGGGCACCAAGTTGTACCACAGTGCCAAGTAAAATCGCATATTGTGCCAATGAATGACGACTGGATCTGCCAGCCTAGCAGTCACAGCACAGAAGAAGAGCCCAGACACCTGTGGGTTCATTTGTCCCTGTTACTGGGTGAGCCAAGTCACTGTGTTGCTCTGCACCTCTGAATACAAGCGCTTCCTTTGTCAGGCGGCTGATAAAGATGCCTCTCCACCTTTTCAGGGGCTGCAAAGTCTCCAGAAATGCTGAGCTCCTCAGGGCAAAGAAACACTGGGAAATACAGATCATCCCAAAGGACTACAAACACCGCAAAACATTTTAAAAAGACGACTGAGGAGATTGTTTTATGAAAAGCTTCTGAAAGTAGCTATTCTTTAAAAAAATAAAAGGCCAGTCCATTTATACTTACCTAATCAACGTGTTAAAAAGATTTGAAGTGATAGGCAAAGCCTCTGAGGAAGCTGCAGCGTGAGCAAACTATACTCAGGTTAACCTGGAGTTAGTCACTAGTAGTCTGCATAATCAGGTTTACAAGATTTACAAGAACAAGTAATAGCATTGTAAAAAAAAATCCCACCTGATAAAGTGCAGTTTCGCAGTAAATTCAGTAACCATTAACAGAAGAAAGAAGTATTCTTTGATAGTTTGGGTTTAACAGCATGAAATAAAGGAAAGGAGCAGGAAAGACTTTGTCTTTTTTATTTGCAATATTCTGTGGCAGCATTCGGCTCACTTAAGAAACGGTGGAGGTGCCTAAGCGTCCTCACTCTACAGAGGGAGTTTAGCAGAAATGTGGCAATAAATTAGGCACCTCTGTTGAGAGCTTAAAGTTAGGTGGAGTAAATCTGGGCCAAACTGGGCTTTTTGCAGGGCCTGAGTAAAGTCCTCTGGAGTAAAGGTGTATGCACGGGTTAAACACTGACATGTTTAAAAATGAAGGTAGGCAAATCTGGTTTATGGTATGACCGTGCTAAACTGCTCAAACACACAAATGGGAAAAAAGAAATTCGTATATCGGCTCTACTAGACATGACACAACACAGGCCCCACAGAACAACACGGAGAAAAGCAGCACATTCTGTCGGGAACACAAGTCTTTTTCCAAGCAACAAATTATGGAAGCAGACTTTAATGATCTGTTAAATTTTTGAAGAGCAGTCCAAGACTTGATCCGTGACACTGCCAAGAGCATACTTTTCCAAACCTTGTGACTAATCCACCACCATCATGCCACTTGAAGCTTTAAGGTGCAGTTTTTAACTTACCCTTTATACACTGCCTCGTGACTTCTTCCAGACTGCCACGACCATTTAGACAAAACTGTCATTATCACAGGTTACAAACTGAAGCTTACAGTTTCTTACAAAGCAAAGCAAAACGAATATAGTTTATTTTGTACTCATAGTACTTACAAAAGCACGAAAAGATAAACATTCACCCTCGGTAGATAAACCAGACTCACTTTTGCTGAGTCAGAATTACTGTTTTTGTCTGTGTAATAAGGGTCTTTTTTACTAAAGTCTACAATCTTACCTAGTTTTGTGAAATCGGTGTAACAGTGTTGACCTTGCAGATTACACAATAATACATTAACATGCAAAAAAACTACCTATTTTAGTCCCCTCCCTCCATTTCCTGTCTATGTACCCAAAAAAGAAAGTCCGTAATAAAAATTACACGGTCTACAATGAACATGTAAGCAAAAAGTTAGCAATTCTGGTCCTCAGTTTCCCAACAATCTTCCTAAGCGTCCTTCCCGTTCACAATCAACCAGAGCAGCAAGTCCAAATGCTTATTTCGGTTTCTAAATGCTGAGGTACTAAGAGCGACATTTAATGACAGCACAAAAGAAATTTACTGATAGCATCAAAGCAACTTATTTAAAACCACGGGAGTTTTCAATAGCTTAAAGAAGTAAACCTCCTAGCAGTCGGAGGGAATGCTGAACGTCAGCCCCGCGCCTCTCCCGACCAGCACACCACGCTACCGCACCCGCTGGCCCCTGCTTCCAAACTTCACAGTGCAGAACCCCAGCAAAAAGCAGCAGAGCCTCCCAGCAGATCCCG